CCCCCCCCCCCCCATTACCACACACACCTCCCCCATCAAAACATGAATGTAGTTCCCTTTCTTTCCCGGGTGCCCCGACCCCCAGTCTTTTCGGATCTTCAGGGCCTGTGTCCCCCCCTTTTTTTTTTAGTAAACTAGAGGGGCTGTACCTTGGATCCTGGCTGGAGTACTGTTTGCAGATCCCACACACTCTGTTTGCAGACACCCCCCACCACCACCACCACCACCGTAAGTCCGGATGAGGAATGGAATGCTTTTTCTGTCTTAGCTGTACCCAAGGGATGGTCAAGAGGAGACAAATTCATTATGTACTATATACTTTATATATTCTTAGTTATGCATTACGTGGATTATGTCTGTATTACAGATCAAGAGACTGAGGATAAAATTGTCCAACAAACCACATCTAGTGGGAAGTAGAGCCATGTGTAAACAATGGCCATGTTTTTCCTAGGATTGAGGAGATTATATATATATATAATAGGGCCAATTCTGTGGGAAAGGGTTTACAGTGCTATCCAATAGAATTTTCTGCAATGATTAAAATGCCTTATAACTACACTAATATGCACTATAGGTACACTAATATAACTTGGCCACATGTAGCTATCTGAAATGTAGGTGGTACAACTGGGGAACTATTTATTTTTAATACTAAATTAAACTTAAAAAGCCATGTGTGACTTGTGGCTTTCATATTGGAGCGTGCAGGAGATATAAATCCCTACTGGCCAGAGTCATAGAAGGGATCAGGACTAAGAGTGTCCTGTGCTAGCCACACACTAACATCATGTGCCCTGCACTGACCAAGCAGGTCTATTTCAGCAAAAAATTCCAGCAGTAATCCCACAACCGTCCCAGCTATAGTCGAATAAATAAACCAAGAGACAAAAGTTGGAAAATGGAAGGCCCCTCCCTACTCTCTGCACCCAAAGGCAGGGAGGTAGACTCCACCAGAAAGACCTCCAATAACAAAATAGCTACCATTTCTTAAAGGTTTATTATGTATGAGAAACTGTGCTAAGCATTTCATATATCACCTCAGTTTAATTCTCACCTCAACCCTATGAAGGTTTGACTATACTTCATAAATGAGAACTTGAGGCTCAAAGAGATTAAGCAAGATTATACAACTAAGTGGAAGAGTAATTATTCCAACCCAGCCATTCACCACTATTCTTGACTACTATCCAGCTTTGAAGTTGACCGATACACTTCTAGAAACCCTCAGGCAAAAGTCTATACCAAACCTCATGGAAATGGCAGTAGGAAGGTAGGTACCTGTAATGAGTGTTCCAGGTGAGATGTGCAAAAGGACCTAATTTAATGTAAGGAGAGAGGGCAATGACAACACTAAAGAGATTCCTAAGCCACTAAGATTGCTCTTTGCAGTATGCTTCTTCCAGAAGCCCTTATTTCTTTTTAGATTCTGGATCAGAGATGCAAAAGCAGTTGTCAGGGCTTCTGAAAACCAGCATGACAAACAGTTATCCCCAACCATAAGTCCCACTGGCCTGGAGCCAAGCACTAGCAAGATCACAGCTAAAAATCACACCTAGCCCTAACCAGTTTGGCTCAGTGGATAGAGCATCAGCCTGCGGACTCAAGGGTCCCAGGTTCGATTCCGGTCAAGAGCATGTACCTTGGTTGCAGGCACATCCCCTGTAGGGAGTGTGCAGGAGGCAGTTGATCGATGTTTCTCTCTCATCGATGTTTCTATCCCTCTCCCTTCCTCTCTGTAAAAAAAAATCAATATATTTTTTAAAAATCATCATTCTCCCCTTTAAAAAAAAATCACACCTAGATATTGTCCATCCTCCCCAACTAAGAATACCTCAGTCTCCCTTAGTTGGCAGGAGAAGTTTATGCCCTCCTGTGAAGGATACCATTTAGGTAACTCCTTGGAGGAAATATTCGGCCAATTAAGCCCTAGGACTGGTGGGAAGTGGGGGGTAGGCTCAGAAACTATACATATGTAGGACCAAACCTTCCTAGCTGTAATATATCCATCCTCCTACTGAGGTGGTGGACCAATAAGGACAGAAGCAATAGCCTTTGGCGCCTAAAAAAGAGCACAACCCCAAAGATGTGAAAGGCATCAAAAGGTCACCAAAGGTATGAAAACAGTAAATAAAGTGTTTTAATGAAAGGCACTGTAGACATGGGATACAAGAGGATGGATATACAGCAGAGGCGTTATTTCTTACTTTACTCAATTCTCTTAGAAAGACAAAAGTTTAGTCCCTGCCTCTATACTCATTCTCGATCCTTACATCATTAGGAATGAGGGGCTTCCTTCCTCTTCCCCAAATCCTACCTTCTCTCCGAGTTCCAGCAAATGCCAAGGCCCAGGAGAGAAGCTAGGTCAGTTGTGGCAGCTGGCCACTAGAGGGTAGTGTTTCTGCAGTTAAGGTGCTCTTGGGAGCCTACAAACTTGGATGGGTGTGGCAGCCAAATGGTACCTGTAAAGGAAGTCTTAGGGTAATTAATGGTCCTGAATGAGTAAGAAGTAAGGAATAGGAACAAGGTAGGAGGAAAGAAATTAGCCCTGAATCCTCACCAAAGACCACAGTCATCAATCCTTGGAAAATGAGGTATGTGTTCTCCCATATACAGAGAAGTCAACTACAAAAAGATTTCTCAGTTTATTTGCATATATACATTGTCACCCCAGGGAGCTAGCTCCACTTCTGGAGTCCCTAACTCCCTTCACCCAGCCAACATCCAAAACCTACATAGGAGACTGGGTCCTGAATCCCCAGGACTCATATCACAACCCTGCAGGTTATAAGAATTCATTTAGCAAAAACAGAGGCCAGTGCCCATTAGACATCCTTGCCCCTTTGTAAACATTGACAACCAGGCCACCGGAGCCTGGGGAAAGTGTGCAAATGTAAGGGTACCATTACTGTGTGCCCAGAGGGCCAGGGACACAGCTGGCAACCATACCCGTGAAGTCCTGAGGACCTGCCCCCACTGTGGCCTGGCAAGTGCCAGGGGAAGAATCCAGGCAGCTACCCCATGTTTGAGGGTTCACATGAGACTGCAGCGGCGCTCTTGCCCGTAGGAATTCTCCACACGGGCAATCTCCTGGATGACTTTGGTGAAGATGCCTTGAGTCAGCTGCACAGGAGAGAGATTCAGGGCAAAAAAGTTAGTTCATTGCCCATAGTACCACCCAGCTCTGAGGTGAATACCCCACTCTCCACCATCCCCACCACCAAGCACTTCCATAAGAAAAAAATACTGCCACCATCTTCCTAATGTTCAGACCCAGCACCTGATTCTCTCGAGCAGATGACTCCATGAATGTCGCACCCCATGACTCTGCCAACTTCTTCCCTTCAATTGCCTGGACCTCCCTGGAAGCAAATTTGGGACATGAAGATGGAAGATAGCAATGTCCTCATGTTCTCTGCAAAATCTTTCTTTTTTTTAATTTAAAAAAAATAGAGAGAGAGGGAGGAGAGATAGAAACATCAATGATGAGAGAGAATCATTGATTGGCTGCCTCCTGCACGTCCCCTACTGGGGATCAAGCCCACAAACTGGGTATGTGCCCTTGACTGGAATTGAACCTGGGACCCTTCAGTCTGCAGGCCAACACTCTATCCACTGAGGCAAACCAGCTAGGGCTTTTTTTTTTTAATCCTCACCTGAGGATATTTTTTTCATTGACTTTTAAAGAGAGTGGAAGAGAGGGAGGGAGGGGGAGGGGAAGGGGGACAAAGAGAGAAAGAAACCGATGAGAGACACATGAGACATCAATTGGTTGCCTCCTGCACCTGCCCTGACTGGGCAGGGATCGTACCAAGGTACGTGCCTTTCACTGGGAATTGAACCCACAACCCTTGGGTCTGAGGGCCAATGCTCTAACAACTGAGCAATACTGGCCAGGACTGCAATATCTTTATAGAATCTAGATGTCTTCTAACCCATCCCACTTCCAAGATTTAGAAGGAGGGTTGGGGAAGGAGAAAATATAAGTAAAACAAAGAAGCCTGGAACTAAGGCTTGAAATATGAAATTATAGCTTTTGCAACAAAAGAGTTATATCTTAACCTTCAAGTTAGAAACAAAAAGAGGTGAAATGACTTGGTTCAAGTCAGTGGCAGAGCCAGGACTAGAGCCTAACTGATTTCTAGCCCAGCTCACTTTCCTTCATCTTGAGCTGCAGAGATTACCATACCTGTCTGGAGAGAGATCTGCCTTGTTCCCCACTAGCACCACCGGCAGCCTGTGAGGAAACAATAGATACTATAGGATCCCCTCCAACTGCCCATGGACCCCAACCTCCTTCACATCAGGGCTGGACAACTCCCCATCAGACCAGACAGGATCTAGTCCCAGCCTCCTCTCTAACTTAAACCAGAATTCCCTTCTGCTCTCTCCCATGCTGCGGTATCCACATTATGTCTCTATTCCCTAGGTCCACTTACCGAGTTTTCCCATGGCCTTCATGTAGCTTTTGGTACAGATTCTCAATGACGTGGAAGCTTTAAACACAAGAAATGGAACTATCAGACTGCGGGATCTCAGAGGGAAGGT